TCTTACTGCATCCAGAAAAAACAAGAAACACTAAATGTTGCTAAGGCTTCTTGTAGTTGCTGTAATGCCTGAAAACTCAACCATTGGAAAAAGGACACTTTCTGGACTACGTTAGTTGCTCTTCCAGAGTCACTCAGATAGCAGAGCTGTATGGATCTACAGAGGCCTGACAAATGCAAAGGCCTACGAGATACTCACCTATGGCTCTGGGGGTGAAGTGCTGCTTCTAGAAATGACTAGTTTACCTGGTATTGTGGAGCTTTTCTAGCCTGTGTGCTGAAAGTTGCTAATATGTTAAATGCCACTTAAAAGGACAGAGTATATTGTGTAAGAGATAATACTAAACAGCCAAACCTCTATCCTGCTAAGTATTAATGTATTTGGTTCTGTTTGTTACATACAATGTTTCTCAGAAGCAAAATTCAGTAAGATTCATAATTAAATATGGACATTTCAAACACATCCTGAAAGTACTATTAGATTACTCTATGCTGCCCCATTTATAAAGTTGGAAAGATTATACCAAGAGGTAATTATAGACAAAAAATGGATATTTTCTTATTTCCAAATCATGGAGAATTGACTGGATATTAATCTTGGCAGGTATTTATGGGAGAAGAAAAGCTGTTGCTTTTGAAACTGTGTTTAAACCCAGTAGTTTTATGCCAATAAATAGAACCAGCATCAGTTACATTTCTTGGTTGTAAGATGGTTATATTTTACAGTGTTCTAACTGAATCTCATCACCCATAACCAGATCACTCTGCTCTGATCCTTCTGTTTCACGTCTTTGTTTTCTTTCAAAAATATCCCCATTTCCGAAGCATCCCAGGGGATGGCTGGATCCTGCAAGGTTATTTGATGTGCCAGTCCCTGGCTCAGAGTCTCCAAATTACATTTCTAGCAAGTTTTGAGAAAACTTTCCCCTTTCCTGAAAGTTTTCCTCTGTGGCATAGTAGAATGATGAGTTCCCTTGTGCTGCTTCAGTCTTAGCTCTGTTTTTAATGGGTCTTTTATGAGGACTTGGAGTCCTCTGGTATACTGCCTCCCTCCCCAACTCTGGGATAGCTGGTTTCTATTAGGATCTAAATAAGGGCATCACAACAGTGTCACCATGCCTAAGACCTTGAATTTTTCAATCTTGGACCAATTTTCTGTGATGTAGATCAACAACCTTGTATTTCTTTTGCTCTTTGAAAGAATATTTTAAGATACATTTCAAAGTGTTAGATGGATGGATCTGAAAAGCCACTTTAAATTTTGATTACTAAGATTGTTTCTCATGGTTGGGAAGGAGTGTAGAGAGAAATGAAGGAAATCCTGTCCAGATGCATGCTCAACCACTCCTAGGAAATGAAGTATCTATCAGTGAGATACAGTTTTAAAAGAGAGAATAACGATTTAGGTCACAATTTCCAGGGTGAGATGCATAGAGGAGAGAATCCAAAACCTTAATGAAATAAGGCTCTATTAGATCTCTTGCTTTTCTCGATCTCTCAAACCTCCTAAAAGAAGAAATGAGATAAAACTACTTCTTTCCGCACTCTGCTTCCTCTCTCTGTTCTTGTTTCTTCCATTTCTCACATTCAAAACAACAATAAAGGCCCAAATCCCTTACCACAGTGCATTTTTCTGGCCCAAACCCTCCAGAGAAAATCCAATGGTGAGTGTGCCCTGATGTCTCCCAGGTCCTGCAGACAACTCTCAATGGAGGACAGCTGATGTCTGGCAGTGGTCACTTTGCTTGGTCTTGGGGAGAGAGGCAAAAGGCCAGCTCCCTGCTGATTTCATCTCTGTCACACCATGTCTAAGTGGGGAAGGGAGTGGCTGGAGATGCTCCAGATGACCTTGTTGTTTAAGTCACAGGCTAGCTTTTGTTTTGTTTTGCTTCCAGCCAGCTAATGCATAGAGACATAAAAAACACTCTGGGTGAGTTGCTGCAAGCTTTTTGGGGTGAAAATGTGCTGAAACCAAGTCCAGAGTGAACCCTAACTGGGAATAAAGAAATCTAGTTCCTAATCATATTTGGGCCTCAATTTCCTCATCTGTAAGTGAGATCACAGAACTACATGACCTGTGGAAAGAGCTAGTAGGGCATGGAAAGGGATCCTAGATCATTTTCAAGGCAACAGATGCTTTGAAATATGTTCCAAATTGTGTTTGTGTGGGTGGTTTCATTGAGGACGTCTGCACCCTCAAAAACCATTATGAATCAAGCCTTTTTCAAACTCTAAAATTTGTCAACATTAATTTTTAAAACTTGAAGTATTGTTGTCATTTGTCTAGTGAGGATTGTGAAATTTTGATTTTTTTCAAATGTGTTCTAGAGTAACAAAAATCAAGAATGGATAAGTCCTTTTCAGAACTAATCCTTGAATGATTGTTTAAAAAAATTAAACCAGGTATTGACTGTAATGTAATTAATTTAACCAAAAAAAATCAGCTAGAATTCTTTATAAATTCTGAAATATTTTAGATTTTTAAAAACCAGAGTTTATAATTAAAGAAGTAGACTAATGACCTCATAGTCTCAAGTGTGTGTGCATACAAACTTAGACTGGAAATACTTTGTCTTCAAGACTAACAAAATGACCATAAATTTTTTTTCTTATAAGTTTGTGGTTTGAAGTGGTCAGTTATAGTTAATACACATATTGTTTTGTTTTGTGGTACAAGGGATTGAACCCAGGGACTTCCTATTAAGTTTTATCCCTGTTTTTTTTTTTTTTTTTTTGGTGTTATTTTTGAGATAGGATCTCCTTAAGTGGCTAAGTTGCCCAGACTGGGCTTGAACTTGTGATTCTCCTGCCCTAGCCTCCCAGACTGCTGGGGTTACAAATGTGCAGTGCACACATTCTTAAGGAAATCTGAAATGGCCTTGAAGTAAAATTGCTTGAAATCATTAACAAGCCATTTCTTTTTGGAAAATGACCCACAGAAGATTTTTTTACATCAAGAATTGGAGCTTTGTATTCTGGTTAGAATTCTGGAATCTAAACAATTACCTAGCTGTTTTGTCTATAAGAAATTCTTAATTTATTCCTGTATTTCTGGTCTTTAATTTTCTTTTTGCACTTGAAAAGCAAATATAGTGAACTAAATGTCCTCAAAGACTCCTCTTTCCTCAATGATATGTGACTGTACTTGTAACTGAAAATGACCTGTATAAGACATATAGCTTTCCTGGAGCTTAATGTGGCAGACAAGGTTGTCCTTTCATATTTGCTAATTTCTTGTTCTTTTGTCAGTTAAGAACAAGTTTTTCTTTCTTGTTCCTATTTACCCTAATTCTCCAAAAATCTAAGCACATTAGCAAATATGAGAGCTTAATCATAATAGATTTTCCTCTTTCTTTGTGAATGATACAGGTTTCAAAATGTGTATTTCATTTTCCCGTAGTTATAAAAAGGCAAATTTCACTAGGACCATGAAAGAAGTCTCAGATTTATCCAGACTATTTATAAACCACCATCACAGCTGGCTGAAAAGTGAAAGCTTGGTTAAATTGACTTGGCCTGGTTCCCAGGGTTTTCTGGGCATTAAGCAATATCTGAGAGTTAAGTCCATCACCTTGAGAAGCAGCAATAACTCTCTGATTCATTATAGGCTCCTCTAACCCATTACTCTATAAACTAATGCATATGCATATCATATAACAAAGTTAATTCTCCTTCTAAGTCACCACACTTATAATAGGATATAACACTTATGGGCTGTTGTCAACTTTAGTCTCTCCTTCTAAGGTGGTTGCTTACATGACCATTGAGTATGTATTCTTTACCTTTAAAAAATTCTTTCAGATGTCATTCCTATTTGAAACAGATGTGGTCAATTTCATTTGAATATCTTGATACTGAGGAGTTGTATGACATGCTTTAAGGGAGATAGTTTTCCCCAACGTGAGCAGAGCACATTTCCTAAGGACCACTTAAACTGCTTTAGTGGCAGCAATTCTGAACTCCACAGGGAATGTCACTCATGAATACCCCTATCTGAAATGTAGTGGCACCATGCAGGGGGCAATATAGAGATGAACAGATTATCTCAGTCCCCACTTGTATTCACAAAATTTTGTAATTTATAATCATAGAATTCACCCAAAAGACTACCTCTGTTGACAGAAGGCATCTAAATGTCATTTTATGAAAATCTATCACTTCCTGAGTTTATAGATGGGAAAAGGAGCTGATTTGAAGGAATACATTTTCCCAAAGATATATTATTATTATTATTATTTTTTTTTTTGGTGGGGGATTGAACTCGAGTCCTTGCGCTTGCGCAGCAGGCAGCGAAACTACTGAGCTAAATCCCTGGCCCCCAAAGGTATATTATTTTGAGTGATTGGAAATTCCAGACATTTCTGAATCTTGGTCAAGTGATCTCATGACATCTCATGATCTCTGAATAGAACTGGTGGGGAAGGAAAGTCCTTAACACCACCCTTTCTGCAGTTGCTGATAATTTCAGTTATCTCTTGCCTAAATTGTATCTTACACCAAAATTACTTTTAAAAATTCATTAAAATTTTAAGTTAAGAGCTGTAGACCACTGCTATTAGAAGACAGCAGCTTTTACTTATTACTACCTAAAGTCCTAAATGGTATTTGCTAATTTGCTTCTGCTGGAAGTTAAAATACTTATTTTTCTAATATTATAGCAGATGGAAATACTTGGAAAATCTCAATATTGTACTTAAATTCTTAAAATGTGATATAGTTCAGGTTCTTAAGGATGATTTGACAACCATTTGGCTTGTCCTCTTTTAAAACAAGACTATTATAGCTCTCTCAACTCTCACTGCTGCTGGGTCCTATTTAATGCCAAAATATACACTTCAATAATTGTTTCTAATATCGTATAACTATATAGAGAGACACAGCAGTCCCTTGTAACTATTAAAAAGAGATCGATTGTGGTGCCAAATTACAGAAAGATACAGTTTTAGGGACAGATTAGAAATTAAATACACCAAGGTAGCTGCTTGGGAAAAATGAACAGTATATAATCTAATATCTTTAATTTTATGTACATGAATATAATGCATGTCAACTTTGTACATGAGATACATATAGTATTTAAACATTTTACTCAACAAATAAGAATTTACAATAGCAATATAACTGACTAGAGGGCTGCCCACTTAATAATACTTAGATTAGATCTGTACTTTAACAGGAAAAGAATTTAATAGTTTACAATCATAGAGACACTGACATTTAAAACAAAACTTTATAAAATAATTTATATATATCCTAGCATCTATAGAGAGGAATGTTTTGCATTTGTGGATGTGTGCAATGAATGGCATATTTTAAATTTTTAGGTAATAAAATAATTTAGAAGCAGTTCATGCAGTGGTCAAAGCAAGGGATGGCAGTTCCTTCAAGATGTCCTCTATCTTTGACATCAATGGCATCAAACACACTAGGTACCACAGGGGTACACTAGAATAAGTCTCCTCCAAGTTTTTATAAACATCAACATACACATGATGATATCCTTCCTTCCATAGCTCACAACTTGTACAGGTCACAACTTCTCTCAGTTGTGGGAGTAGTCAGTCTATAGGTAAAGTGATTTAAAATCCTTCCTGGAGTTCTATGTAATATATCTCTACACAAGGTGACTAACAGAATTTCCTGGTTTTCACAATTTTACTCTGATACTTCACTGAGTGTCCCCCATGTCCTATGACATAAACATCCAGCAGGTAAGATTTTCCGGGCTGAAGATCTTTAATGGTTTCTGTAGTCACTGCTTTCTGCAGGTTCTGGCTGTGAAAATATTTACAGAGGACCTTTTCAGATTTCTTCCTCATATCTGGTCCTAGGCATTGGTTTTGTTCTCTTTTCTTCTGGTCTTCATTGTAGTTATCATCTACTTCTTTTTTGTAGATGCAGAACTTGTTCCTCTCCTGGGTGCCCAACCAGGCCACCGTGGCTGAAGAACAAGTACGGAGCTTATCAAAGGCTTTGATTCTCGTATCTTCAGGAAGAGAGGGAAATGACTGCTTACTAGGCCTGGTGGTGGCTAGAATTTTCAACATGGATGCTCCTTTCTTGTTTCCTTTCAGTCGAATGAGATACTTTGCTTTAGGTTTTCCTCTCAGCTGAAACTGCCGAATGCCTTCCACATTCTGAGACAGAAGAAGTTTCCCATCTCTTCTCACTTGGATTTGGATGGCATCCAGGCAAGAGTGAATAAAGATGGTTACTTTTTGGTGAGAAGACACTGGAGCAAACCGTAGAAACTTTGCTCCCTTCCTTTTAACAAATACATCTGTCACTTTCCCATCTTTGAGCTCCACAGTCATCTGTTTTGCTTCTTCCTTGGTCCTGGCAAAGGTACCCACATAAGCAGTGCTCGTGTTGCTGTTGGTGTTGACCACGAAGATGTCAAAGTAGTACTGTGTGTCAGGTTTCAGATCAGAAACGGTGAAGATGTTCTTGTTTCCTATGCAGATCTGCTGAATGTCAACCTTGGGCCTCGAGTAGACATGGCGCCCCAATTTTGGAGAAGGCTTTGCCAGGTAGCTGCGCTCTTTACCCAGATTATCTGAAGGAAATCCAAAATGGGCAAAGTCAAAGGGGCTGAAATCTAGTCCAGGTTTTGGGGCCATCATGAAAGCATCATCGGCACTCAGCTTTGCATCCACTGCACAGAGACTTTTAAAATTGTGTTCTCTGTTGATGACCACACAGTACTGGATGGGTTGTTTCAGCAAAGAGGCTGTGGGGCTCGGTTTCCAGGCCAAAGTGACTGTGGTGCGTCCCAGGGAAGTCACATCTACTCTGGGGTCATATGGTAATTCAGGGTATAGCTGATCTGACTCTGGAGTGGTGGTAGCATACACTTTGAAATGTGTGTCTTTCTCTGTTGAAAGAAGTTCTAGTTGATATAAGCCAGATGGAGAGCTAGAAGAGATGAAATACTCCACATCATTGCCTTTGTAGGAGAACAGCTCTGTGCCTTCCTCATTAATGATCTGTTGCTTCTGCTGCTCAAGAGGTTCAGGGTCACCTAGAAGGAACAAGAGAAGTGCAGGCTGGGTGTCAATAGTGGCTTGCAACCTCAAATTGTGTTTCTGAGTTTATATTATTTTTTCTCCATTTTAAAGATAATATATGTTCATAATAAGAAACTGGGATATATACGAAAATAACAAGATAAAAGTCATTCATTAATTCATTATCCAGAGACAGTGCTTTATTACAACTTTTATGTATTTTTGTTCCGCCTTTTCCCTTACATATTGTTGTGCAGTTAGTATTATTTTTCACTCATTTTCCCCATAGCTTAATAACATTTATTATCATGCATATGTGTATCTAGACAAACCTCTACTTTTTGAATCACGTTTTCTCACTTAGTTAAGACTTGATTTTTTTACCATTATAAATAATGCCCTTATGTATGTAGAAGATTTTTCTGAATTTAAATTATTTCTTCAAATTAGAACCCAATTCATAGAATTTTTAGTCCAAAATGGTAAACTTTTTAGAGATTGTTAATCCTGACTGCCAGTCTGCTTACTGAAAGAATCCCATCAGTTTGTATTTTGATGGTCAGCCATGTCACTATTGTTAGCAGGACTGGACAATCTTATTGACGTATAGAACATAAAACACCAGTAAGAGTAACTAAGATCAATATCCAGAATGTGTATCTGGGAATAATACAGAGGAGGTAATGGAACTAAATTATTTTTTCCATCTTTTACTACTCTTAATATTTATCACATAGATGTCAATGTGCAGATAAGTTTCCAGAAGTTGATGAAGGACCAGGGAACCAGAGTGGGAACAAACCTTTTCCAGCTCATCACTGCAGGCTGAAAGTGAGGTATATAGAATTTTATATCCCTGAACTATGGGGTGAACACAATCATCACAGGACTGGTACTCTAAGAGTTCATTTTCTTTATCTAAGTCTCCTCACTACCTACAGCCATTTTCAGTATTTGCTAAGTGTGATGTTTGCTCTCTATTGTAAGTCATAGCTTGCTGCATGCTCTATACAACACCAGTTGTCCAGACTTCACCTGTAAGCTATGATGCCCTTAAAAGGATCAGCATCACTCCAGGCCCCAAATATACTCCTCTTGTCATTTCACTTGCATCTTATTATATGTTTTCCATTATTTGCACCTGCTTTAAATGCCTAACCCACTCCACTCCTCTTTCTGACTTTCTCTTCTTCTTGGACTTAGTTGCTAAAGGTCTCTCTGCTCCTGTTTGATTATTTCCCAGAAGTTCTTAAACTTGGCTGCACATTAGAATAGTCTGTGGGGAGATTTTAAAAATTCCAATATCCAAGCCACACCTCATAGTAATTAAATCCAAACTTCTGTGGGAAAAAAATCCAGGCATCAATAGTTTTGAAAGCCTTCCAGGTGATTGGAATGTTCAGAAAAGATTGCAAGTGACCATCATAGAGGCCAAACCTCTGGCCTTCTCCCTAATCCTTTATACTCCTACCGGCCTTTCCTAACTTCTTGTTTTACCAACATCCATGTTATCATTCTCCACTATCTCCATCCCAGTCTCCAGCTTCACCTGTTTATCCCTGCAGGTTTTTCTTACTTGGAGAGAGCTATGTGTTTCACAAGCTTCCCAACCATCCATGCAGAGGTCCAAGGCCAGATCTGTCCTGCTGCTTACCTGAGCCTTCCCCACTGGTCTCCTCAGGCAGCTCCTGGAGACTCAGCTTCCACTCCAAAGGCGCATCACAGGGAGTCACTGTGACTGACAATGGGGTATTGTCTTCTTCAACCACAAAGAAATACCTGTAGGAAAGTGGACCAATTCAGGCCATAGTCATTCTATCATTAGCAAGTAAGATTTACTGGGCAAACTGTTTGGTTTTCATATTTATTCTTTTAACAGAATAAAATTGGCTACTTTGCACAAGATACAATACAGCTTTAACTGTGGAAGTCCAATAGTCAGTCCTAAGGTTCTGCAACCAGATTTAGCATTAACAAGTAAGGTATAAAATAGTAAAAAGACTTGAAGCAAAAGAATTTTAGGTTAAAAATCATCCCATACCTGTGCCTAGATATTATTTAACATAGGCCCTGCTATTGCAAAGTAAGTCATAATCAAGAAGAATTTCTGGGTATGGTGCCTTACAGTCATTGTATTTTCTATAAATTTGGTGATAAATTTATACATTACCCTCTAGTTGCCCACTGTTTCAAAGGTCATTTTCACAGCAACCTAGTTCTGAAATGTATATTGATTTCTGGCAAGATAATACAGTCTTCACATTATCACATTAATGATTTTTATTCAAATCTACTATTACATATCCTTTTGGATAGAGGGACCTAATCACCATTTGAGAAATAACTTTTAAAAGTAAAGATAGCTGTGTCTGCCACTGAAAAGACACATTTTTCTATTATTTTTTTCACTAACATTTCCTGTTGAATTAAATAAGCTAATAATTTTAAAGCAGAATTGTAAAACATCAAAATATTCAGATCTATGCTTTTCCCTCAGACTTTTTAATGATGCCTCAAAAAGCTTTTAAGGAAAATAAAAATACTGCTGAACTATACAGATGTGGTGTATTCTTATACCAAGTAATTGAGACGATTTCACATAGTTATCTTTCAAAGCCCATACTCGTGCAAAGCAGGAGCCAGTGTTTTCAATGCATGGAGCCTAGAGTTCTGCTCCGGTTCTATGGCAAAGCAAAGTAGGTTTGATGTCCTGTACATTGTACAAGTGGGTGTCTCTCGCCTTCCCCTTTCTACCTTTACCTCCAACTGCTCTCCAAACCAACCCCTATCATCCTCTGCTGATTCCCTCTAACCCCCAATCTCTAAGCTCTGTAGTTAACTGCAGATCTGAGCATGGACATCTCTCTTCTGCCTGCCTTTACTTCCTGTGTGACCTCCCCCAGACTGATAGCTTTGCAGCTTCTATATTAAACCCCAGATTTAAATCATCAACCTGGACTCTTGTCTAATTTCAGATACAGCCACCTTCTCATCATCTTCGTTAAGAATTAATGGAATTTCAAACTTGAGATGTCTAATCCAAACTTCTGATTGTCTCCCCCAAATCAGCTTCTTCTGTAGCCCCTCCCTTCTGAGTAAATGACTGCTCCAACATTCTGGTTATTCAGGGCAAACATTTTGGAGTCATTCTTCACTTTCTCTTTTTTTCCTTTCCACGTGGAATGGATCACCAGACACTAGTTTGACTCCACTTTTAAAATATATCAGAATCTATTACTTTGTTCTAGGCCACCTGTTTTCCCTCGCCTGATTCAAGCCTCATCTCTTGCCTGAGGCTTCCAAAGGGTCCCCGGACTGGTCTCCCTGGCTCCACCGGTAGCCCCCTTGGTGCACTCTCTCCCCATTTTGGCAGAGTGACCCTCATAACCCTTCTAAATGGCACTCCTTTTTTTTCAAGCCCTCCAGAGCATCTGATTCATTCGGAGTATGAGCCACAGAACTCGCAATGGTTCACAAGTGCCTCCATGTTCAGGCCCCAACACAATCTCTAAAGTCTTCTTTTACTTTCTCTCTCATACTCTGGTTTCTCTTCAGATCATATAAATCTTTCGCCTTTACTTTCTCTCTCTGTAATCCAGCTTCTTGCAGACCCCTGCCTCAAAGTCTCTGCTTGCTGTTCTTCCACCTGAGAGACTCCTCCTCCAGGAAGTGGCCAGGCTCATGATTTAAGTGTAATCTTGCCATAGACCCACTTTCCTCCCTTATGTAAAATATCACTTTCCTACCGTGAAGCTCTTTTGTATCTCATTTTCCTTCAATACACTTACCTACCTGTTATATATTTCTTTTATTATTTTTTCCATCTCCCCGAACTAGAATGAAAGGTGTGAGCAAGCACTCGAGACACTTGGTTCATTGGTGTAGACTCAGAGAACAAAAGAATTCTTCATATAATATTTGTTAAATGAATTAATGAATTGCTATTTCTTACATATCCACCTCCAAATATTTTACTCTTTCCAAATCATGCTTTATATTGCACCAGAACAATCTCTTTTAAAAGTAAATATAGCATGTGATTTCAGCTTACAGGGCCCCTTCTCAGCTGTTGATTTAGCTCTGTGGGAAAACCCATAATTACTCCTCAGAGGTCTGATCATACCTACTGCCCCAGTCTCTTGTCAGGCCACTACCCCTTTAGCTATCTATACTTCAATCACATAAGACTTCTCTGGCTTCCCAAACCCTGCCTCATCTGACAGCCTTTGGGATGTGGATGTGGTTTTCTCTGAAGTTCACCACTCTGCCCCCACTCATGTGTAAGTGTCACTTCTTTAGAGATACCTTTTCTGACTCATTCTGATCAGGGTCTTATATACTCTCAGAGAGTCCTGCAACTTTAACTCCCACCACTTACTACAATATACACCATGACTATACATTTGCATGATTTTTTACATTACTGTCATTTTCCCCAAGGGCCCACCTGGGGCTAACCTTCCATGTCGGTGTATTCCCAGCATCTAGCACAGATTTATCTATGAAGTGAGTACTAGACAAATATATTTAAATGCATGAATAAGTTCATAAACTAAAGTCAAGCATCTTAATACTAATCTCATTAATGTAGCCTGAGAAAATGTACATCTGCAATCTCTTTCTGTGTGAAGATACAGAATATCAGTGAAACTTTAAGGTTTTTCTCCTCACCATTGACGGATATAGAGATGGAGGGTTGAGAGTGGGGCAGGGGGAGGACAAATAAACTGAAGACCCTACAAAGACAAAACAACTTATTCATAAGATAGACAATCATCTTGATGAAATAACTAAATCAGGGAGTTGTTTATTCCAGTTTTGTGTATCATAACCCCCCTTAAAGAGAAGTGCCAGAGGATTACTTTTTAATTCAGCATGCTTTGGGGAGAGCAGAATTTTGTTCCTTTGGCCAGGCTGAATGGGTGATATTAATCACATAAACACAACTAAACCTATCCTATGACAAAGAAAGAGGTACAACAAAATACTTTATTTGGCTTTAGGAAGGTAAAATAGTGTTCAAAACTTCTTGGTTTTTCTGGGATTATGTGAGTAGCATATGAAACTGACTCCAAAGTCAAAAACAATGGGCAAGTTCATCTATGACCTTTCCTTTTGAGCAAGTAGGTAGTTTATCTCCTCAAGTAAGCAACTGTGTCTTAGTAATTTACATATAGGCTATGGGCAACTAATAGCATATACAACAATGCTTACATTCCACAAGATAATCCTTGTACATAAATGCAGTAGAGAATTCTTATAGGGACGAGCAATGGTGAACTTTTTAGAGTCTTTGATGATACCAAACAGCTTGGTGCAGCATATGTGCCATAGGTTTGCCACTGCTGCATATAGGCCAGTATTTTCACATTGAAACACTTATGAGGAAGGATAAATGATAATGTGAATAAACTTAATTTATTATCTACCATGCACAAAGTACATATGGAAAAGAGTAGCAATCAGAGATGACAGGATTTGATCTGTGTTCAGATACTTGCTTTTCAGGGCCAAAGGCTGAGAGATAAATATACCATGAGACATTTTGTTCTTGGAATTTATGTATAAACATAAGAACAATTAATGAATTTATTGTCTTTTTCTGTTCACTACTGCTAAACTTCATCTGAATTTTCATCGTTGGCTGGAATATCAACAATGGTTATGTGTGTTTAACAATGCATAAGCCTCCAACCCCCAATGATGTTTCTACTTGTGGCTGCAGCTCTTAGCTAGGGTAAACAAGCACTTCAAGCAACTGTGTATATCAAGAGCCTCCATAATGATTTTGGGCAAAAAAGACAAAAATAATGACTAAACAAATGAAAGACAAAAAGGAAGGGAGGGAAGTAATATTTTCTAGTAGCTCATAATAAAACATTGTTTCAAAACAAAAAAGGAAATGTAATTTTTAACCTTACTTTTAGGGCTAAAACATTTAGTTTTTTAAAAAATGGAATGACCCAAGAGGATAAACTGTTTATTTGATTAAGTAATTTGCTTATATAATGCGGATGAATACAGCAAAGAAAGTAATGTGTAAGTACATTTGGGAAATTAAAGTGATTCCTAAAGAAAACTTTTGGTTTGATCTGATTCAGTCAAAAATTTCAAGGGACAAAACAATATGGAAAGCAAACTGTTCAGTGAGAATTCAGTTAATACTAGAGATTAATTTGCAGTACTGGAACAGCTTCGTATGTCCTTCCTTGTTTGACAGACTGAGTCTTTTTAAAGACTAAGACAGCAAGTTCCTTTAATGTAACCATCTTTTTACTCTTGCCTTTATTTGTATGAATGTTAAAGATTAGAATGATTTATATTTCAAGTCAGTTCTTAGTTTAGTGTATTCTTGCAAACAAATCATTTCACTCAGACAGTGATGAAATGATTCCCATATACCACTTCACTTTTGTCAGAATAGGGAAACTGATCACCTACCTCATTCTGACTGACCTCATGGTAATAACAACTGGACATTACGTGCAGGGGTTTACAGCACCAACTCCAATTACTACTATTGCTCAAACTCAAAAGATGACCCAAGGATCTGATACACCTCAGTCTTTGGAAAAAGAAGTATTAAAGATGCAAGACAATTTTACTTCTTGGAATACTAATGTGTCTCTAGTTAAAAGGAGAAATTGTTTTTGAAATATAATTATCCAGAGATTAAATGAAAGGTACAGCAGGTTAGAGCATTGGAAAGTAACTGTATATATAACTAGTTTATAGTATATATTATTTATATGATACATTTTTTTCTAAAAATATTTGGAAACATGAGAGCCCAAATGCTGATGCTGGAGTTAAGGAAATGAACACAGTCAGTTTTTATCATTGGTTTGATTCTCTTAGAATCTGATCATATTTGTTAAGGAAATATTATCCTTATAAAACTTAATGTACATCCTTGAAGAATCATATATATTCAATTAATTTTATTTTAAGCCTACAAAGCTCATCTTAGAAAGATCCTACTATGCTGAAGATGAGGAATAATCACTACAGAACATGAACAATGCAAGACTGCCTTTTCCACCCAAGAGGAGATCATAATCAACAAGAATCGGCCTCAATTATGATTAGAAGTTGTACTGCCACTTAGAGAAAAAAGGTAATGCTGCTAAACTAAATTACATATGAAAAATTACTTTCTTTGATGAAGGCATCCTTTATGAGCATACTGATACAGAAAGTATGGGAGGAAGAATACCTTTTTGGTGTATCTCTGAAGAGATAACTGCTAATTTCAGCGCCATCTGGAATGACTGAGGAGTCATGAAAAAATGCCTTGTCTCGGATCTGCATCTGGAAAAGCTCCTCATCACGAGTGGGCAGCTTTTGGGTCCTTGAGGCGAGAGGTAACAGCAGCCATAGCAGACACCAGTGGGGCAGCACCATCCTGGGGCAACAGAAGTGATTGCTTGGGTTAGCTCTGTAGGCGCACGCTCAGGGAAGCCTGCAACTTCCCAAAGTGTCAACACTATTTCAGTTGTGACAGAAACTTAGGGATGTACAATATGTCTTGGATACACACACATGATCTTGAAGGCAACTTTCCTGTGTTTATTTTTTCTTCAAACTATTTCATGTTGTCAGGAAGGAATTTGTCAGAACTTCAGACATTAAAAAGATTTTGAAATGAAAGGACTCTTGATGCCTAAATTTCCCTGCATATTCAGAGAGAAAATCCTTACCTCATTATGGCAGAAGGCAATATGGTCATTATAGATAATGTCCTATTGATGTCTCAAAACTTAAACTAAAGTGATCATTTAGGGGCAGTCCTTTTAGGGATTACGAGTTGTGCCAATGGTTGGTCAGAGTCACTGCTCAACAGTCAAGTTACTAATTTAATTGTTAACATAGTTGAACTTTTACTTTCATCATATGTCCTGAGACCCATTGAAAGCCAGAAAATTAGTATAATTTTTTTTTCTTCCTTAAAATTTGACTAAGGAGTTTATATGGCAATATGCTTATTACAAGTCCAGATTATCATAAATCAGAAAATTTGGGGAGATTAAAGTTTAACTCCCTCAAAATCATTAGGTGAGCTATTTATTGATGTCTAATTGTTATAGATTCCTGGACTCTTCAACATTTACCTATAAAGCTCTAACAGGTTGGAAAATGATTTGATTTTCACTTTTGCAACAAGCTAAGACAGACTTTAGAAAGTTGTCTGTTGGAAACATCGGCCCTAACCTCCTGCGCAGCACTTTCACTGAGTTACTTTTAGGCATTCATCAGTAACTTCCACCATAGATCCGGTAAGTAATTGAGGGTCAGTCTCTATTCCTCACTGCTGTAGTAATGCTGGCAAGGCCAAAATCTTCTACACATCTCAGTTTTCCTGTGCTGAAGTCCCAGGTAGGCAATTTATTTAAATCATAGGCATTAGTGACAGGCTTTTCTTCCCTGGATGATTTAGTAATTTTTTTTTCACAGAAAGAACTATGTAAGGAATTCTTTTCCCTTACCTCTTTGACTTAGCATATATCAGAGAATTCAACTATTAGAGAAATGCAGGGTTTTTTTACATTTAAGTACTTTAAATAGTGAGAAAGTCAAATGTAAATATTTACAATAATTTGAGATGAAGTAAATGCCAGTTTTATTTTGTTTTTTTGCCAGTTTTATTTTAAACAGTAATTACTACAGAAGTGACAAATTAACCTCTATGTAAAACAATACCTGACTTTAATTTTTTCTTCCTTTTACCAAAAGTAGAGTCAGATAACTAAACATTTTTGAAAGGAATAAACATTTTCTGTTTTAAAATGATAACGTGCATAGTTTTTCATTGTATGCTTGCCCAAAAGTTCATTTAATTTCATTCTTCCAAATATGTTTTTCCTGCCTTTTGTTTTGCAGTTTTCCATTCAAAATATCTGCAGTGATTGAGTTAGCATGTATAAAACTAAATTCACTGACTGCTTTACTATACTTAGTTCTCACAATTACCCTGCAAAGTAGGTATTATTCCTCTATAAAAAGAAACTTTCATTATAAAACCAGAGAAAGGATATAAATCCAGTGGATCTGACTGCAGAGCCCAAACTTTCATCCTCAGCAATATCTCTAAAGAAAGCCAGGACAACTTCTTATTTCCCATCCCTTGTTTCCCATCTTGTTAAATGAACTGTAATTAAAAGAAAAGTAGACTGAACAGTAAGAATATGCCATTTGGTTTCAGTTCCTAATTAGATATATGATCTTAGGCAACTTATTTGGCCATTCTAGACTTCAATTTTCTGAAGGGTTTAGACAAATGATTCCTAATACAAATGGACAATGATTCTGTGATTGAATACTAAACCTTCCTTCCCAATCAGCCGGAAGTTTAGGAACAAGACCAGCCCCCTTGAGTTTCATTAAATAACCTGTCCCTCAGATGGCCTGGTCATTTTCAAGGAGAAATCTAAGGGAAGTGGGGGATCTAAGTGAAAGCTGTGAGTTACTAATGGTAAACAAATGTTATATCTACTAGAGGTGGTCGGACATACCAAAATCAAAGCTAGTTAACTTATTCTACATAAATAGGGAGACTGTGGACTGAACTGAATAAGACCTCTAGCCACGATGCTCCATCCCTCCTCTCACTCTGTTCTGCCTGGAGTTAACAGAAATGGAAAATCTGAATAGCATTTGATTTTGCTAAATAACAGTATGTGCTTAGAAATACTTATCTTAGCGAAATAAAACATATTCAGTTTACTTGTCTTTGTAGTACCATCGCCAAACATTGCCTCTTGAAAGCAGAAGAGGCCAATTTAAAAAAAAAATCTCTTTAGGAGTGGTTAGAATTTGGCTTTCTGTATTTGTGAGGACCATAGAGCAAATGTGTCACCAGAGCAGTTCAGTGTGAGATACTTAGGCACATTTGCCCTAGGGCCTCTCGGGGGCAGCCCTACCTCATTAGGTGCCATGCTTGCCCATAAAGCTGTCACTTACACAGTGCCACTAGATGACCCAGCCCAGGTAAGCTGCCCAGGACCCCAGGATAGTCAGGGTAATGGAGATATTTAGGTCAGCCACAGAATCAGAGAAATAGATAGTCATGAATAGTAGGAGTGTCACTGGCATCTTCAACTGCTGTTGGAAAGGGGTTTCTCTTTATTCAATCAGCTATTTACATGAATTAAGAGGTGATAATGTTAATAAATATTGCTGTGTACGTGCTGCATACCAGGGAATTTTTAAAGTGTATTATATGTATTATCTCATCTAATTCCATTAACATCCCTGTGATTTAGGGATTATTATTATTTTCATTTTAAAAATGAATACATAGGCCTACAAGTAAGGTCATATGCTATATGATGTGAAAAATATGAACTATTCATTACAAGTGACTTTAAAAGTATGATAAATCTTATTCATATATATTCTCCATATCAGCTATTTAGCAATTTAATATTAGGAAACAATTGCAGGCAATTCTTTACTAGTCTCTGTTTCTGCATTTCTTAAAGCACAGTCACTGACTGCTTTATTGGAACAAAGGCAACTTTTCAAGAATGTTTGTAAGATTAAGTATTCTTTATCTGGAATGCTTAGGACTGGAAATGTTTTGGATTTGGGATTTTTGTGGATTTTGGAGTATCTGCATATATGTGCATTTGGAGTATATGCATGAGTGTCATAGTGCTCAAACTCCAGTCTAAACATAAAATTCACTGATGTTTCTTATACACCTTTTACATGTGGCTCAAAGGTAATTTTATGCAATATTTTTAATAATTCAAAGTTTAATGGTGTGGAATTTTCCACCTGTGGCATCATGTTGGTGCTCAAAAAGTTTCAGATTTTGAAGCATTTCAATTTCGGATTAGGGATGGTTGCCCTTTATTTTGAACAAATTGAAAGATAAACCTCTGGATCAAAGAGTGAGCATAATTACTACCCTTTGTAAAAGACATGGGTTCCCAAAACTCAAGACTTCTCTACTACTACAGTGAATGCCACTACCTGACCTGGTGCCTCTTTGCATCGTCTTATGAGAACTGGTGATCAGGTAGTCAGCAGAAGAAAATGATGCTCCTGCACCTAAGGCTATTGCTCTGAGTAACAAGGTCCTAGGTCTCTGACCCAAGAATCTCTTGCCTTCTTCTAGTGCTGTATCTGTGAAACTACAGACAACTAATTATTAGCTAGCAAACTCTCTACAGTTCTAGACAACAAGATTTTACTTATGAAATTATTTTACTGGTTCGTTACTTTATTGCCTCAGTTAGACATTCTAATTTAAATTACCACTAGTAAGGAATAGACAACCTCAGTTTTTGGTTTTTAAAAATGTTTTATTAACACATAATAATTGTACATATTTGTGGGGGACAATGTGATGATCTAATACATATTTACAATGTGTAAAGATAAAATTAGGGTAATTAGCATTTCCATTTCTATAAACATTTATTATTTTTGTGTGCATGTCTTACAAACCTTTGAACTCTTCTCTTCAAATTCTTCTAAAATATATAATAAATTATTGTATACTATGGTCACTCCACTGTACTGTAGAAAACTGGAACTAATTATTTCTATTTGGCTGTTTTGGTACCTGATATCCAACCTCCTTCCATGCTCCTATTTTGTTTCCTTTATCAAACCATTATTTCCCCCAACTAAAATCCTGTCAAATCACACTTTTTATTTCTGAAACAATCAACCATCTTAACCATCATGCCAATTATGGACAAAACAGATATTTTTCCTGAACGTGTTTAAAATTAGTATGATCTCAAAACACAGGAATTTATGTTCTGTCATATTATGGTTTTTAAAGTGTTATCTAATAATATTCAACTATTGTTAAGAAAATATTTACTTAGATATTAGGAAACATTAATCATTTGTTCCAATTGATGAGGTCATGGGCAGGTTTTCTAAAAACAAAAGTATTTAAAAGAATCACCCAATACAACTAATCAAAAATTATTTTGCAGGTACACTGTGGGTATTTTTACAATTTATATTCTCTTACCAAAAACTGAAGTTTTACTTAAAGACTGCTTGAATGTTAATTTTAAGCTTTTATACATTTCTTTTCTCTACCAATAAAATTTTCTCTCTGAGACATTCAGTTTAAGAATTAAGTCACTTTAAGCAAACAACTGGAAATTCATTCTTCTTAAGACTAAGCCTGGGTTAAGTCAGTGTATAATAACAGACATCTCTGAGATGTCTAAAATTACAAAAGTGCCCTCTAATGGCATAACTTTTCTTCTCATTTCTTTTTGTTAGTTCTACATATCTAGAGCTTATCTAAAGTTTAAATTAAATAAAACTAATCAGAATTTCACTTTTAGCACTATTCTTTTTTCATGACTATTTTAGAAAATACATCTGTAGAGCCAAAAATCTTGGTATCTTTCTACAATGGAGGCTGTAGTACAAACAGAACTACAAACAGTTGCTAGGATGCCTCCAACAAACATTTTTATTTTGCCAGGCAGATCATTCAATCAATTTGGCTGCATATTTATTCATAACCAGAAAAAGCAATAATTAGGTGTTAGCCTAATCATTGAGAATACTGACTTCCATTGTCTGGGTGAAAGGTTCTGAAGAATCCAGCATACAGATGCCGGTCTAAAACTCTGGCATTATTCATGTTGTCAAAATCCTCCTTCATATTTGGCACACATCTTTAGAGCCTGTCAAAATTGAAGAGAAAAATTATTAAGCTCTAGGCCTAATAATTTGGTGTACTTTAAGCTTTGGAAAATAGACCACTGATGACATAAAACAGTTTTATTCTTTTATATGCCAATGTATCCCGGGTCAAAATGAGAAATTGTATCCGGAATGTAATTGTCAAAGATAAACTATGTGTTCTATTCTGACAAAAACAGAAATGGTTTGGACTGTGATTAATGTTAAATATACATAGATATGCAGATATACACACATGTTTTTAGGTCAAAATATTTAGACCATTATATAAGTCCAGTTAGAAAATGTGGAAGTTAAGATAAATAAGTAGTGGTCCTAAAAAAAACTTTTAAAATTAAAGATGAGGCATTTGCTGACCCTTCCTGGTGAGCAGGTGTGGTGGATTAACTAATGATCAACTTGAGTGGGAACCCCCAGCTGAACTGAGTCAACATGGTTCTGAGTGTGGAAGACCCACCTGTGGATTGTTCCCAATGGCATAAAAGGAGAACTGGAGGGGAAGATTGCATCCTGTTGATTTTCCTGAAGAAGCTTGCCTTGGCTGGTTTTCCTGAGACAAACTCAGCTGTTCTCACTAATGGAGGAGCTAGGGTCCTCACGGTCACTGGGGATGGCTGCGGCTCTCTTCAAGGGAGCTCTGGTCTGCGCCTTGAGCCCTGCTTCCTGGCTCCAATGCATATCCCTCAGTCTGGTGGCACAGACCCTTCGCCCTGCCATACAGACTTTCTAGCCTCCACCACTGGCCTTTGGGCCTTCCTAGTGCAGATCCTTGATGTGGACTTCAATGAGACATTGCTGTAGACTCTAGGCTTTTGGCTGGACTTGTGTGGGACATTGCTGTGGGATCCAGGCCCTAGGCTGGATTCTTCAGGTCTCTCGCTTGAAGAGAGATCTCTTGCACTCTTCTGCATTTGACATTTTGGGTGAATATTATAAAATAATCCTATAAATTATGCCTGTTATTAAATCTATTCCCTTAAACCACTAACTGCAACTGCAGGTAAACACACGAGATGTGCAGAATGGTTCTCATCAATGTTTTAGAACTGTGGTGATGGAACTGCTTCTAACTCCTCTCATTTCTTTGTCTTCTCTAAGGAACATGTATAGCAAGGCATGAATTGAAGAACAGTTTCAAGAAAAAGCTGATGAATAGATATGAAGTATTTTTATTCCACAAGGAGCCGGGAGTAGGGCAAATGGTGGCTATCAGAAAATGTACAAATAATACTAAGACACAATTTTCAGCATTAATTTTAACTGCTTACTTTACGGAGCCTTTAGTATAGTTAAATGGTCAAAGTTTTCTCAGAAACCTAGGGAAATGCATGCAAATTAAAAATAGTCAAAAGGTAAGCGAAGTAAAACCTTAAAGGACAGTTGAGTAATTAACCAATGTATTAGACACACATCCAGAATACCTCTGTCAGTACAAAAACACGATATGCCTAAAAACAAATGCAACTTGCTCACGGTATCTGTAGCAGCTCTACTACTGCCAATTTGCACAATTTATCTTTAATTATATAAGATAAACTAATCCATTTACCAGTCTTGGTTTAACCTCTGGTTCATCTAGTGAACACAAATTTATTACTTGAAATTGTGTAAACAGTGATAATGAATATATAAATCTGGATAACTGTTTTACTCCTTTAAAATGTATTCAAAGGATTTAACTACAAATTCTAAAATATAAAGTGTAAGGAAATACTTCAAACCACTAGAAAGCTTGCCTTTAATGTTTATAGACTCCTGTTTAGTTATATTATCTCACCAATGCAAGGAATTTGCAAATCTTGTAAGTAAAAAGTTCCTCTGAGGCTTTCTGAATAGAAGGCCTGATGTGATATAAATGGAGACACTGTGACCTTTCTCAGTGCTGTAGATTACCCATAACAAAAGCCAACAGCTATACCTACCTGTAATAACAGGACCAAAACAAATTCCTCCACCCCTCTACCAAGGTCCTGCATATTCCTTATGGAAACATGCGGACATATTTGATAAAAATGTTATCAAGTGTTTATATAACATGTTACACGATTTAAGATCAAATTCATTGGGATAACTTATGGTATACAATTTAAAAACACACCATAGTATCAAGATTCATTTAAAAACTACCCAATGCACCCAATCATGTATAGGCCACAAACTTGAAATAAATTTACAGTGACCTAAAAGAAGGATGGTTACTCTGAATTACTTGAAGCAAATGCATCTGGAATAAATGAAAGCTAATGTTTAATTACACAGACTGGAAAGTGCATGATTATAATTCAGTGAGGATAATTTCAAGGAATGGTCTGCCACAGAGATTTCTGTTATTTTCTTTTCCTCTCTAAGTGCAAATATTTAGTCTTTTTAACTTCTATTTTTAAACTTGAGGGCTTTGTTTGAATCATCCAGGCCACATCTGATAGTCAATCTGAAGCATCCGATCTAACTGTGAAGAGCAACTGTAGCCTTGGTTAGAGAAGGGGCCCCTGTGCCTGCCATGACCTCATGGGTGGCCAGCAAAGGGGGCTGCGCTCTGCAACATTACCATGTCTACCCTCTGCCAGTTCACACGGTGGGCTCCCCTCAGGGCAGAAATGAAGCAATAAAAAATTAGCATTCCCAGAAGCTGCTTTATTTTGTTTTTTCCAAATGATAAAAATATTGACTGTTTAGTTAGCCGTTTATAAAAATCCAAAAATATCCTGTGGTATAGTTGAAAATATGAAGGAAATAGAGCATAGTGAGGTTTGATATTTCCATATTTGAAAAGAGAAGTCTAAATCAGGAAGAAGGAAAAGGCTTCTGGTCTGTCCCAAGGAGTGGTCTTTGGAACAAGTAGTGTGAGGCCTCCCTGTGCCCTAACTGCAGAGTGCAGTGGAAAAATATGGTGAATGTTTAAATTTTGAAAAAATAAAATCTATGCCAGCTCCTACCTGACCCATAAAAGTAGAGCCAGCATGCTGTACAGAACCTTTGCTCTAAAGCTGTCTAAATAGAAACTGTCATTGCGTAGTGGCATGATTTTGAAGGGTTTAGAGTTCATTATGTCGGTAATCTATGGATTAAGGAGCTTCATATCCATCTCAACTGCAATGATTCCAACCTTTTCAGGCACTTCCCTAAATGACTGCCAACTTTCATTCTGAAAGGAAATTGAATTAGTGTAAAAAAACAACGTGAAATTAAAACATGCCAAGGACTGAAATAAAGTTTCCATTCTGTCATCCACACACTCAGATCTTCATGGTGCTATGTAGTTCATAACAGGGCCAAAGTTAGGGCATTCTAATTTTAAAAGATAACCAAGCCTACTGAAGAACTACTTGAAAGAGGATCATATTTTAAAATGTGTAACCCTATGTTTCCAATGAAAAGCATCATGAAGATAGATACAGCCAAAATAAATGTACCACAAATAGGCATAGTCTTTGATTCAGGGAGCCAGACTCAGTTTACTAAAGGAAGAAGTAGATCTATAAAACATGTCTGATTGGTGATTAGAAGACATGATACAGTTCAAAAATAACACATGAAATCATGCAAAGTAAAATGGGAATAAAATTCAGAATATCTTCTTCCTATCAAAATGTCCCCATACATGCACCTGAAATAGCTGGAAAACTTCCTCTATCTTAGGAAAAGCTAATGATTCCTTGAGTAATGAAAGCCCTCGAGGGAAAGATAAGATGCTTGGTTACTTTTCTTGCTTTTGTTTGGCAACTAAGCCTTATTTCCTGTTGATCTGCTACAAAATGAAAATGACTTCCTGTGTATTGTTCCCCAAAGCAGTTTACAAACTGTACTCCCCACTCTCTCCTGAAATTTAGCTAAGATGGAGTGTGGCAGCATGCCAGTAGCATTAAGCAGCAGCACACATCAGCATAGAAAGTGAGACAGGAGTCATACTGCTTATCAAATACTGAGTCCCTACAGCATGCAACACTCTAAAATTTTGATTTTTTAAAATATTTACTTTAGCCAAGAAGTGAACTTTTCAGTAAGATACTCCATAGATTCCCCAAACTAAATATGGCTCAAAGTGCAAAAATCAGAATAAACAAGTTGTCAAACAAACTGCCAATTGCCAGGTCAGTATTCATATACTGGCTAATGTAGGAGCTCAAAAGAAATGCCCTAGAAATTTACAATCTACTTATAAAGGCAAAATTTATATACCCAAGAAACAGTGTCCAAATATGTAGGTATATTTGCTCAGCTCATTATTTTTTAATTGAACATCTAGGTAATGAGTCCTTGTTACATGTTAAGCACTTTTCCCAGGGACAGTGATGATATCATGAAGTGTGAGTTCTAGGGGGAGTGACAGCACTTTAACACATACATAAACAAGAAAACAGTGCTGGCTGGTATTCACCACTATGCAGAAAATTAAAATAAGTTTGTGTATGGTGACAGCAATTTTAAGCTGGATATTTAGTGAAAGTTTTGTAGAGGAAATGATATTTACACTGAGATTTAAATGACAAGAAGAAGCTAGTGAAGCAAATGTCAAGGAAAGACATTCTGGGCAAAGAAATAGCTGGTGCAAAGGTCCAGAGGTGACACTAAGCTTGGGGTGTTGACAAAAGGAAAGGCCATTTGTGTGGAACACAATGGGTGAGGGGTAGAGTGGAAGGCAAAGTGCAGATCACTGTAGCTTTGTAACCACACTAAGGAGTTAGATTCTATTCTGAGTGTGGTGGAGTGCCCTTTTGAGGACCTTGATCCAATTCATGCTGTTGTTGTTGTGTTGTTGTTTTTTAGCAAGGTAAGTCTATTGTGTGGAAAATAGATTTTAGGGGAAAGATGATAATAGAGCCCAACTACAATCTCATCTTTATAAAAGCAAAAAGATCAGATGGGGACTATTGTGGTCATGAACAGTAGAGTGAGATGGTCTAAGCTTTGCACAGGAGATGGGGAATAAGAAAAGGACTTGGATCCCAGAGTGTGGAGGTGAGCTTGAGGCAGGAAGAGA